GCAATTTGCTGATCACTTTGTCACCCCTGAAGCTGAGGCTTTACCCACAAATAAGCAAACTGTTTCCCACAATGTGCCAAAGTCTACATTGATATCTACTTCAGCAACAAACCAAACTGAGAATAAATTTAAAAATGACACAAATCAGTCTGGCCTGAGATTTGCAACACTGCCACTTCAAATTATCAAGCCCTATGCAAAAGCTGCCCGAAATATTACTGATACAAATGATAATTCTAAATTACCAGGTGAAAATACCCTGGGAAAATCAACTATGAATCCGCAGCGGAAGATTTACTTTGTCCATGGCAAAGTATCATCTCATCTGTCCTGGAATAAAAAATTTCAGCTGATGTCCAAGAGAGAGCGTTTGATAGCAGCTCATGTAGGTGTGGTTAACCGAATCCAGTGGTCAGTTGCCCAGTTCAGCCATTTGCTGCTGTCTGCATCCATGGATACTCTGGTCAAAGTGTGGAATGTATGGTCAACCCTTGAGCCATGTGTTCAGGTTTTGAGGCACCATTCAAGGGCAGTCAAAGATGCAGAATGGAGTATGTGTGGCAGGCAGATTTTGTCTTGTGGGTATGATAGAAAAGCTATCATAGCTGATGTGGAATCAGGTGAGTGGCTTCATTTATTTATTTATGTGACTTAACAGAAGAGCATCTCCACAGTATCCATATTAATCAATATCATTAGAAAGAAAGACAGAAAGAGTAAAGATAAGCAATAAAAGATTTTCTTTACTCTTTTTTTTTCCTTTTAAAACCAAGCCCTATTTTATTGTTTTATTACTTAAAAGACGGATGTGCAGGTAGTGTAAGGGATATCATCACAGAAAGTTCGAATTCTGGGTTAGTCTGTTTTGTTCACTTTTACACAAATGTAAACATGGCCATTCTGCTAGCAGTGTGTACCAAGTAGGAACAAAGAGTAGTGATCTAAATCTGCAGAGAACATCCTACCTCATCAATAACTTGCCAGTTTCCATTACAATCTCTCGAGTTTGCTGATGGTCTTCTGCTCCTTCTTCATGTGTCAATTTTAAACTTATCGATCCACTCATACACAGTATTGCACTCGCCATCTTGTGTTAAAAGCCTCTGATGAATTTCAGCCCCTGACATACTTTCTGATCAGTGAAATTGGATCACTGTTCTTTGTTTCTCCTTGGTGTACACTGCTAGTGAAGCAGCCATGTTTGCACTGTAAATGCAGTAAAAAAACCGGTGCGAACAAGCTCAAACTTCAATCATGTGATCAAAATAATACCAACAATAAGCATGTATAAGCAGAAGGCAGTAGGACAAACCTAAAGATATGTTATGGTAAAAGTGTGAATAATTTTTTGCTTGCCCTTGTGTATGTACATATATGTAATGGTGTGTGTGGATATATGTATATATTATATGTAATGGTGTGTGTGGATATATGTATATATTATATGTAATGGTGTGTGTGGATATATGTATATATTATATGTAATGGTGTGTGTGGATATATGTATATATTATATGTAATGTGTGGGATATATGTATATATTATATGTAATGGGGTGTGTGGATATATGTATATATTATATGTAATGGATATATGTATGTATATATATATGTAATGGGGTATGTGTATATATTATATGTATGGGGTGTGTGTATATATGTATGTATATATTATATGTAATGGGGTGTGTGTATATATTATATGTAATGGGGTGTGTGTATATGTGTGTATATATTATATGTAATGGTGTGTGTGTGTGTGTATATATTATATGTAATGGGGTGTGTGTGTATATATATATATACACACACACACACACACACACACACACACACACGTGTGTGTGTCTTTGATTCTAAATCTACGGGTCATGACCCATTTATGAAAGGTAGCTTCTTATTTTTTGCTTCTTTCACTTTCTTTAAATTTAATGTAGGTCATTTTGATTGGTTGATCTGAGTAAAGCCCAGAAACCCTATAACCATCTCCTCTCTTTCTTTTTTTTCATAAAAAGGTGTTGTATTTTGCTTGTAAATTCCAATAAATTGTTCACTTACTAGTCATTTACAATCGCCTTATGAGATGTGTTGATCAGCATTGAAACATGACTGCAATTGTCTAGCATTTTGTTGACATGTTTTAGATGTAATATCTTAAAATAAAGTGTGTGTATATATATATATATATATATATATATATATTATAGTAAAAAGAAAGAACAGTAAGATATATAATATTGTTCTTATTGATATTTTTATTTTACAAAACAGTGCTCAATGTAAATATATATATGTTCTCTCTCTCTCTCTCTCTCTCTCTCTATATATATCTATATATATATATATATATATATATATATATATATATATATATATATATATAAAAAAAAGAAAGAACAGTAAGATATATAATCCGGTGTTCTTATAGATATTTTATTTTTACTAAATAGTGCTCAATGTAAATTTACAGAGCCTTAATATTATAAATTAATTGATTTAAAATATGTTTTTTTCCGCTACACAGTTCTAACCATGTTTCAAAAATAGAAGCTAAAAGCCCTGAATTTAATTTTGCAATTAAATTAAAAGCATTAGTTCCATTTCATTCTCAAGCGAATTTTGGAGTAACTTTTAAAAATTACTGGGTTTTAAAGACACAGCTAAAATCACATTTCCATGGTTACAGAATATTCTACTTCAATTGGACAAGGGATATCTAGGTTTTCCTTATGTCAGTATCATTGTATCAGTTATTAGCTACAATTTGGTAAGGGGTAGGGATGTATTTTTCAATGAAAACTGACATCCATTCAATGCATGTTGTCTGGATTTTAAAAAGAAAATTATTGTTAATGGTAAAAAAATTTTTACAGCATTTTTTTTTCTATTTATAAATTTAAAGATTTTCGGGGGTGTTCAGATCATAATACTTTTTATTTAACTACGATTTGAAATATTCACATTTTTAATTTTTATTATACTATATTCTCTTTAAGAACAGTTAAATGTATTAGAATCCATTATATTATGTAGGGTTATTTTAACATCAAGTTTAAGTATGTATATGAGGTTACATTTTTTTTTTTTTTTTTATTAAAAAATTTGTGACTGATGGCAAAAATGGTTACTTAATTTCACTGATTTAGTAAACTTTTATTTTATATATAAACCTAGTAATATATTGTTTCTCATGTAAGTACAAAGGACATGGGTTATTTGAAAGCTTACATCTTATGGCATTTCAAATTAATTTTATTTTTATTTTATTTTACTATAGGTGTTTTTATTGGATTCTTTTAAGTGTGTGTAGTACTAATTAAAAGAAGTTTAGGTTAGAATTCATTTTATTTAACTACAATTTTAATTACAATTTTAAAATTACAACTTTAAAATTTTAAAATATTTTCATTTAGTTTTAATAGACTATATTACTTTATAACAGAAGGAAAATTACTCATAGTAAGTAAAATTATTTTTCCATATCAAAGTATATGTAAATTACGATTTTTAAACTTTTATAATTAAATATTATTTAAGTAATATTTATGGCACTTACTACAAAACTAGATTTAGTAAACTTTATTTATTAATTAATTTATTTTTTTTTAAATATATATAACCTAAGTACTAAAGTTTCATATGTATGTACAAAGAACATGGGTTGTACACAACCCTACATCATCTAGCTTTTGTTATAATTTCATTTTACAGTAGGTGTTTTATTGGATTCATTTAAGTGCCTGTAGTCCTTTTATTATAGAGGTGTTTCGGTTAGCATACATTTTATTTAACTACAATTTTTTTTAAAAGATGCTTAGGTTTGAATTTGTTTTAACTACAATTTTAAATTTTAAAATTAGTTTTATTTTTTTTTTTACAAATTGGTCAAACCCAAACTGAAACAAAAACATTGTTTTCAATCGTTATGAGTCTACCGATTGAATAGAATTTTATTATAAACAATTGTCTTGTAAATGGAATTTTTAAAGCATTCTGAATGTAAAAATAAAGAAAAAAGTGTGCAAGACAATAAGAAACACTACCTGCCAAAAAAGAGTGAAGTTTTGTTGAAATCAGTTGAAAATGTAGGAAATCTGATCCCATATATAAATGAATACACACACACAAACAACCAACCTGGGTTTTATAATAAGTATAACTCGATATGAGTTGTCCCCCTTTCATTAATGCCCCATAATCGTGTTTTCAAATTGATTTTGTGCAAAAACAATTGTGTTTTTCAATTTTTTGGCACTGTCACAACCACTGCAAAGTAATTTTACGTAGTCCTGTGAAGTTTTGTTGAAATCGGTTGAAAAATGTAGGAAATCAGATCCAATATATAAATGTACAGACACACACACACAGACACACACAATCTGCGTTTTATAATAAGTAAGATGTAATTTTGGGTATTCACCATGTAGTTCTTTTATTTTTCCCCCTTTATCTCTTCTCCTCCTCCTCCTGTTTCTTATTATTATGTTAATGTTGGACACTTGACATAGGCAATGGAAATCCTGTTCTTGAGGCATGGTGTCAACATGATTCCTCACAAATCAAGAACCTTTTGAAAATTCCTTTCAGAGTAAATGATGGCAGTTTTCTGCAGATCTACAATCTTGGTTTCAATTTTAATTTTTACTGATCTTTCATTCAAGTTTGGACATATGGCCACATCATATTAAAACACCCATTCCTGTATGATCACCAAAGTTAAGCATCATCTAGCCTGATCACTACCTAGATGGATGACTGCTTGGGATTACCAAATACTGTAAGCTTGGATGTTTGGGTGATGTAATGGATAATGGCTTGGAATTGTTAATCAGAGAGCTGAGTTCCAATTTTGTTCTTGAAGCATGGTGTCAACGAGACTCCTCACAACTCAAGAACTTTTTGAAGAATTCTTTCAAAGTAAATGATGACAGTTTTCTGTAGATCTACAATATTAGTTTCAATTCAAATTTTTCCTAAGCTTTCATTCAAGTTTGGATTTATGGCCACATTATGTTGAAACACTGGTTCCCATATGATCAATAAAGTTAAGCAACTTCAGGCTTGATCAGTATCTAGATGGATGACCATTTGAGAATACCAGGTGCTGTAATCTTGGATGTGTGGGTGGTGTAATGGATAATGGCTCAGAATTGTTCAATCAAAGAGCCAAGTTCCAATTCCTGTTGGCTTCATTATATTCACTTATGTGGAAATAATTTTGGGAATGGTATGAATCCACCTTTTCTCCCCCAGCTGTGGGTTAATTAGTAAGACTTGTATCACTGAGACCATTATTATCTCCAAAAATAAAATAAAAATAATATATCTCCAAAAATAAAATAAAATTGCATACAAAATATTTAGATTTCGGCATTAAATAACCCATAGTGGTTTTGATATGCTTCTAAACAAAAACTGACAGCAAATCAAGTTTCTTAGTGTTCCAAGTGCTCTCGTTAAGACAGAAATTACTTCAACAGTCATGTTCCATCACTTTTTCACCTTCCTAGCCTGATCCTGATTACTATGACTATTATTATCTTTATTATTATTTGTTCAAACTAGTTGTGCTTGGTGACCTACATTGGAACTTAATGGACAGAAAGTCTCCTTGAATACGCCATCCTTCTCAGTATTCTAACAGTCTTCAACAATGTCCTGTCAGTGGTTCCAACACTTTCCCAAAATTTCAACTCTTCCAATCATTTACTTTCTTTTAATTTAATTCTCAGGTGCTGTACTGCATACATTTGATCATTCTGACTTTGTGTCCTGTGCACGTTATCATTCAGTCAGTCCACACCAACTTATCACAAGTGTGTCAAACATCTTGTACTCCTGGGACACAAGAACACCTCAAGAGCCTGTCCTGGAATACTCTTACAAGGACAAGCTGGGAACTGTAAGTCAGATCTCTTTATAAACCAACAAAAAATCCTCATCTTTGTAAGTTTTTTTTTCTATAATAATATTCATTCAATGCAAGGCTCAAGAGCGACACAAAGTAGAGGATTATTAAATAAGATGAATGATATAAATGTAGGAGTAGGAATTGATTGATTTTGGATTGTATGTGGATGCTTACAGTATCCAGTGTCTCCTATTCAAGTACTGACAAGTGTTAAATAATAGTTTAGCAGACTATTATTTTTTAGAGTAAGTGAATCTCTGCTCCAACTTCCTGAAGTTGACCATGGTGTCAGATGCAAGACATAATAAAGAAGTCAATTTTGATTAGCTGATCTAGTGTGGGAGTGACAGATAGAGAAATGTTTTTCAGGGAGTTAAGTCTTAACTGTCAAGCAATGTAGGCGGGTTCTCTTTTGTGTCTGAAATGAGGGGGAATGACCCTCACTGGATAATTAGTACATGTCGACATTAATAAAATAGTTAAGTTGAAACCGTGTTGGAATCTTTTCATTGCTGAACTGAAACGATTGGCAATTGCCAGCCAAGAGAAAAGGCTGAGCTGAGATCATTCACCGCTGACAGAATGCAACATAATTATCAAATTGGCACAGTTGACCTCCCAGGACAACACCAGGCTCAACACTGCTTAACGTAGGTGACCAAATGAGAACCAGAGCTTTCAACATGATTTGACCAAAGGTATGTAAGAGTTGGAAGTGAGGGTTATGCAAATATGGAAGCTAGATAAGGATTGACCCTTCACTCGAAGAGGTTAACTTTTATATCATGTGTGAGTCTGTTCCACAAAGTATCTGTCCTTGGGAAAAAAACTATTAGTGTAGAACTTACTCTTTAAAAATGGAATATGGAGAGAGTGAGGGTGGTTTGACTCTGGGTATAGCAGGCCAAGTCTTAGCTGTAAAAGGTTTGAACTGGTAGAACTAAAGAATGTGGCTATTTTACCCTGATTCCAAAATTTGAACAAGATTTGTTAGATATTCTTGTTACTAATGCAACATTACCTCCTACCACTCCTTATTTGAGAACCCCATCCTGGAACAGGGCCAAGAGTTGTCTGTGAATGGTCACAGGGGAAACTGGAGTTACAATTCAAGTAATCAAAGGGTCTTTTTTTGATGTAAAAGTTGGAGATTACTTGTGGGTGAGAGGGTTATACTAAATAGGAGTGGAAGAAAATCTGAAAATATCACATTATGGGATGCATTGGCAAAAAATGAGAAAACTTAATAAATGAGGGATTTTCAAAAAAGTAGCATGTTTCGGGAAATGATTAAAAACAAGTTCTTCAAACTCTAACTCAGTGTTTCTCAACCTTTTTAAACAACAGCACACTTAGCAGCAAATGAAAATATCATGGCACACTTTTTAAAGGGTATACATTTAAATTTCTAAAACCAAATAAAATAATAATGAAATAAAACCATAGATTTAAAAAAAAAAAATACATGTATATATAAACTTATTTTATTCTGATGTTTCTATTCAACTATTTGTGTAGCTTATTTAGTGTGAAACCTGTTCCTGGTGTTTTTTTTTTTTTACGGTTTTATAGCGAAGAAAATGGCAACTTACCTCGTCAAACCAAGCGACAGCATGTCGCCTGTATCTTACGACGAAAATGTGTAGAAAAAGAAAATTACTTACCAAAAAAGAGGGCATGTATTCCACATGACATGCTGAAGACGAAATATTTAAATTAAAAAAACGAGTCCATCACAGGAGTCGCTATAAAAGTATTTTGATATGCAAAAATTGGGTGTCCTCTCCCAGTCGTCGAAGAATGGAAAAAATGCTCGGACAATAAAAGCAGTTGGTGTTCTCGAATTGGAAGGAAAAATCATGTATTTTGGCTACCGCGTTTGTTGGAGAATGAGTTATATTTCTGACTGGTTACATGCATTGTGATTTGTGAGATAGTACCTGCGAATCGCGTTTTTGGCATTTCTTTCTGCCCCCGATATTCGAGTCTGAATTTACAGTGATTTGTTCTTTGTGTTGTGGAAGTAATCTGCGACAAATATTTTCATTGCTTTCACAACGCTTACAGGTTTCTTCAATGTTGAATGTGTGATAGGCAGACACACATTTCTTTTTACTGAATATTAAAACAAAGTATTTAAAATAACATAAAGAATAGTGAAAAGAATTATTTGAAAAAAGTTTAATACTTATTTAAATACTAACACTCTACCATTACTACTCCCCCCCACACACATATATGCCATGATAGTACTTTGTAGCACATTAGGGTGTTGTGGTACTGCAATTGAGAATCACTGCTGTAACTAAACCTTGAAGAAATAAAACTAAAAATAAATGTTCTTCATTGTCTAAGTAAAATGCTTTAGCAAAAGTATTTCTATGAAATTTTACAAACATTTTCAATATAAATAGATATTAATAAAATGGGTGTCCTAATGAGCTCCCATATATATATATATATATATATATATATATATATATATATATATATACTAAATTAAATTCTTAAACATTCCATAAAATAATCTTTAAAAAAAACAACTTTGAAATCTACTATATTTGCCAGCATCAAGAGTGTAGATTTTATACTGAAATAAGTCTAAAAAATTTACTGTGCATCTATGAGGAAGAAAGTTAAGGTTTTTATTGTCCTATGCTAACCCCCAGGGTAAGGTTATCTATGCCAGACAGTAAACTGAATTCCTGTATGTTGTACAAATTTTCAAGACTTATTTCAGGAAAAAAAAATGGTGCCAGCAAATACGGTAATTGCTTATTTTCTATATTTGCAATATTTTATTTTGCATCAGAAAACTGCAGCTATGCTTAGGAAATTGATGCATAGACATTAATTTGTACAAATTTGAAATTAAATTTAAATGGAATAATGTAATTGAAAATTAAATAGTGCATGGTGGTTGTTTTTGTTTATCAGGTGAGAATGATTGTTATCTGAAAATGAAATTTTAGAATGTATTTTTTTTCTCACATGTTTTTTTAGGTCCAAGACTTGCTGTTTTCCCGTGATGGTGACAAATTTTTCAGTTGTTGTGATATTGTCAGTAGAGATTCTGCAGATCGCAATATCATGGCCTGGGACTTTAGAACTGGAGTCATTCTTTCTAACCAAATTTATCATGTGAGTTTTTTGCATACTTTTTATGAAACCAACATGAAGAAAAAAATAGCCTCATGGATTAAAGCATTGGTTTGTGAATTTGGTAGCTTAGTAATTGTGAGTTCAATCCCAGCCAATAAAATCACTAAGACACAAGGGGATACTGAGTATGAAAGAATATGAGAAAAAGAAAAACATAATTAAGGAGAGAAAACAATAATAGATCAGCAACTGAGAATACAGAAGAAAATGACTGACATTGCATTTAAATTTTTGGTGATCAAAGTTGACTGGAAAGGAAGAAACCAGAAGAGCTGAAAACTGCTAGCATGTAACTTAGGGTCATATCTAGCCATTTCAACTTTAAAATGATGAGACCTAGCTGCCAATCTAGTTCTGCACTTAAAATTCATAAACTCTAGGTATCAAAAAGAAAAGCTTACCAGAACAATTACCATGAAAATAATTATAGAAAAGGGACAGGGAAGCTACATTATGGCAGTGAGACTGGAGAGAAAAACTAGAAAGAGAGAGAGAGAGAATTGCCAAGTATTTAATTTTCATGAGTATTTTCTCATTTTAATTTTGCTTATATAGTAATTCATTTCAAGATCTACAGGTGGTCTAATGGATATGTGGAAAATGGAATTGACAAGCGGGGATCAAATTCCAAGTTAGTCTATTGTGTTCACTTTTGCATAAATGCCATTGAGAAAGGCTTATTCCACAGGCAATGAGTTCAGTAACTGAGTAGACTAGATGGCAACCAGCCAACAAATAGAAAAATTTGATTTCAAAATGTGAGGAAGTCAACAGTAAATCATTCTGCTATTTTTCACTAGAAATTATGACAATTCACAATTGATAAAGAAAAGGGATTTGTGGAGAGCTGTATTTGTCTACATCCTGAAGAGACATGACATTGGAAATAATGGATTAAATAACTAGGTAGGCTCTCAAGGCTTGGGTAGTAGCCAGCCTCATAGATAAAACACTCTGAATTTATAACTGTAGAGAAGGTTCCAAGAAACCAATCCACAATTCACAGATAATAAACAAAAGGAATCTGTGGTGAGACAT